ATCTCCAAGGTCAAGGCAAATGGTATCCGATGGAAGGTTTTGCCACAAAGAATACAATTATGTGAAGTATGGAAGCCCAAGCCTTAAACCTTCAAAAGTTATGGCCAAGGTTACCAATTTTAAAAAGTATGTCTAATTCCAAGGACAAGATACAAGGGTCATAATTCTTAATATCAAATGAAAGGCTTTGTCACAAGGATTACATATGTGAAATATAATATCACTAGCACTAAGCGGTCAAAAGGTATGGCCAAGGTTAAAGTTTTTTTCATAAGTACAGAAATACAAGGTCAAAAGGTCAAGGTCATTGGTATCGTATGAAAGGTCTTGCCATAAAAAACATATGTGAAGTATGGAAGCCCTAGCTCTAAATCTTCAAAAGTTATGGTCAATTTTACCAATTTTGAAATGTAGGTCAAACTCCAAGGTAAAGATCAAAGGGTTAGATTTGGTGGTGCCCAAAGAAAGGTCTTGTCACAAGGATGAAATATGTAAAGTATGAATGCGCTAGCCTTAACCCTTTTAAAGTTATGGCCAAGGTTTGCTTTTTAAAAGTAGGTCAAACTCCAAGGTCAAGGGGTCAAAGTTCTTGGTATCCAATGAAGGGTCTTCTCACAAGGATTACATATGTGAAGTATGAAAGTCCTACCCCTTACAGTTCAAAAGTTATGGCCAAGGAAAATAGTTTTTTCACAAGAACAAAAATTTCCAAGGTCAAAGTCGTTGGTATCCAATGAAAGGTCTGTCTACAAGAAATATATATATATCTGAAGTAAAAATGTCCTGGTATTTACTGTTAAAAAATATGGCAAAGAAAAAGTTTGGATTTTTTGTTTTAAAGTGGGTCAAACTCCAAGGTCAAAAGGTCAAATTTGGTGGTCTTGTCACAAGGAATACATGTACACATGTGAAATATGAAAGTAATAACTCCACTTCGCGGTTTATAAAGCGTTAACTGCCCCAAGTTATGTTATATCGTATAACATAAGTTGAAATAAGCTTCATTCCTTAAATAAAACAAACTAAATTTTAAAAAAAATCAAAAGAATTTTTTAAAAAAAATTAAAAAGAAACGATCATATTTAAAAATAATAAGCGCTAGGTGTGCAAGGAGCGATTGTTATCTGAATTCATGCTACATTGTAGGATGGCGCAATGGTCTAAATCTACGTAAATCATAAAATCTCTCGCCTTCCCCCAACCCTGCATTGAGGACACTATGCCCTTCAGCTTGTTTGACAGAAATGCAATCTAAATATTTCGCCTGTTAAAAATAATAGAAACACTACATGAATGGTGTATTATGAATAAATATTTTTGTTTCTGCAACATTTATGTTATTAATACATGTATTCTTAAGCATTTATGACAGTTGACGTAGCATTTTTTTTTAAAAGGGGGGTGGGGGTTACCTGAAAAAAAACTGGACATAAGTTGACTAGCTATAAAAAAGGGGGGAGACTTATCGAAACTCAAAACTCCTATTTCAGATGGTATTGTAGGTCCCATCTTTTTTCAGTACCAATTCTCTCTTTTTTTTACTTAAACATACTACATAACCATTATTTGACTATATGCTGCAACAAAAAGGGGCAAACTGTTTTTTTCTGAAAAAATTTCATATTTTACAAATCACAATATGAACATGTAAAGCCGGCTTTAAAAAAGCACAGTTGTAATAAGGGACGACAATTTCTGAGGGCATGCACAATTTGAATAGAAAAACTATTTTGGGTACAATTACAAATTTAACGTTGACCTTTATTAATATCAATAAATGTTCACCCCTCCTCTAATTTATTATCGCATAGTACATACACGTAATAAAGTTACCCCCAAAAATGACCTAAGACACAAACACACCCTCCCCGGGCCCATACCTAGAAAATATGTACTCAATTCAATACAATACCTCAGTATAAAAAATATTTTACTGCCAAATGTGGGTGCCTAGGGGCAAAGTACACAGCATATAGATACTACCTGAAGGAGAACATTTATTTCTGTGTTTATGACATTACAAAAAGCCATTTTTCAATGTCATTTAAAGATATTTTAAAAAGTTAAACAGAAATTATGAGAAAATGTTAATGTTCAAAATAATGCATATGTGAAGTATTCATTAAGTAAATATCTGAATAAGGCGCCTTTAGATCGAAAGAAGGGATGGATTATTGGTCATCACATCAAACAATTAAACAAAGTATCCTGTACATAAACTTCCATATGCATGCAAAGCCAAAAGTGCGATGAACGTGTATCAATTTTTTCCAGTACACAATTCATGAACCTGAAGTTGTGCTATTATATTCTGGTGAATAATTTAAAAAAATTAATAGAACTTTCATAAAAATCAATTGTTAAGTAATTTTTTAATGATATTTCAGACAATGATACTAAAGAGTAAAAAGAAAGGGGTATACACCCCGCGTACACCGTGTTGCATACACCCCGGACACAACATTGATTTTTCGTCAATATCTTTTTATGCGAACTGTTTTATTTATAGACAATTTGTTCAAACGTTTATACTGTAGACATGTATTAAACGATAGTATAAAATTGATGATAATGCAAAGCTTTGTTCTGTTATTTGATCATAAACACAGTGTAGCGTCTATCATGCTGCGATCCTCGGAATTGTGTTGAGGTGTTTGATTAAACTAGAAGGTGTCCAGTGGATTCATAGGTATCCATATACTCCTTAGATAATGCTTTCTTCCGTAGGCACATGCTTTCTGGCGAAAAATATCCGTAAATTGAGAAAACGGACAAAGAACGTACCTCGACCCCCTTTCTCTCGCTTCGGAAGCATACACCCCGCGCACTACATGGTATACACCCCGCATGTTGGGATATACACGGTGTATAAGATCAAAACTTTTCATGATTTTGTAACATGCGTAGTATGTTCAACAACACTTTTAAGGATTTCCATCCTTAATAGGATCAAGTTCTCTCCCCTTAAATGCCCATCAAGTACATAAGGCTCTAATATTAAATTAAAGAATTTTATCACGTTTATTATACCACCCGCTTGAAAGGCGGGAGGGTATATAGTAATCGTTAATTCTGTCCGTCCGTCTGTTACGCTTTTGGGTACCCATCTCTTATCCGCAACTCCTCTCATACCAATGAATGAAATTTGATGAAACTTTCACAGAATCTTTATTACATATTGTAATTGCCATTGTGTACCTCCTATTTTACTTTTTGATCCGACACATATTTTGGGTTTCCCGGCCACAGCAAAACATGGACTATGCCATTATAACTATATGGAGGCGGGGGTATCATTTAGTGAGCTCATCGCACTACCTCTAGTTATAGGAAAGTTTCAAAAATTTAATTAACTAAGCAGTAGTTAATTAACAAAGATTGTATTGAAATCTATGGGGAAAAGCGAATCTGCTGCTATTAATTAGAAATATAGAATACCTTAAAAACTTAGATTCTCATTGGTTAAGAAATTAATAACATCAGGAATTTTAAGTTGTTGACAACGATGAGACAACTAAATTAAGCTCCACTTCTTTGCTGGAAGAGACAATTTTATTGCTTTTTCGATACACTAGTTGACATTTGCCTGAATTTTTATCCCATGTATATTTCAACAGTGAATGAAAACTGTGTAAAGAGCCATAGCTGCCTTTCCGACGACACGGCCTACTCAAGTATTTAAAAGGAAATCACCTGTTTCTATTTATAGATACATGGATCAAGATCAAACTACATGTATGTTATCATTTATGGCCCAGTGTTATATTTTCATATTTGCAAGTTTATTACATGACAATCATTTTAATAGTTCAACACTCTTATTCTAAACAAGACTTTTAGAAAATCTTTAAAATAAATCAAAATAGCAGCTACGACTTAGGGTCATTAAAATAGTTTAAGACTGCTTTTCCCGAGATGCTTTCAAGGTGTAATGTTGTTTAATGTATCTTTTACATTATTTATACACGTATTATAAAATAAAAAAAGAAGAAAACTTAGGAAAAATGCATAGAGAGAAAAAAATTGCATAGATAAAAAAACTGAGAGACTCGAACTCACGATCATTATGTCTACAGTCCAGTAATCATACCACTACGCCACGAAGTCATAGAAATCAGAAGGATAAATCTAAGACAGATTGTTGAATCTTAAAATAATATGAGAAGAAAAATTAAATACATATTTTCAACATTTTCGATATGAAGACCACCTTTAACCAAATTTATCTAAATGTAATGAAGTGCAGTCATATCCGAATAAAATTATTCAGAAGTTGTTTTTTCTGGTTAAGGGTGGTCTTTTCCTACAGTTTGTCATTGTTCAGGGGGATACCTCTGTATTTACTATATTCTCTATATAAACTAAATGATTTTTATATCTGTCATATGAGGGAACTATTAATATTTAAATATTATTTTTGTGTGATTTGCTTTAAGGCATGTATAAACTAACATTGTATGACAAAATTTTGGTTAAACAATGTATTTAAAAAATCACTACTAGAGTAGGCGAAAGTGACTATCAAATGCGCTATGGCTCTTTTAGATGTTAATTTAATGTAACATCGAGAATGACACGCCTTACGGAAAGTCCAAGCTTACGTGGGAATTGTCCTAATTTGTATGATCTGTATTCTTCCTGTACAATTCTGGTTTTTAACTTGCATCCCATATCTTCTAGACCAACCCTAGTACATGTATCATGGGACTTATTGAGTACATTGTAATATTCAACATGACAAAGAAAAGTTTCCGCAAACTTAACGTGGTGAAAAATTTATAGATGCAATAAATTTGAAACAAGTATTTAAATACAAGAAGTTAGATATGTAAAAGTACTTGAAACATTAGAAAATGAACATCCTAGTTTAAATCCCCTTGTGTACTAGATCAATGAAATGTCATGTGAATTCATGAATGATAACAATACTGCTAGAACTGTACTAGAATTTTACACCTGAATAAAGGACTATATATAGAATGATGTATGGTTAAATCTCCTGTAGTATTTCGGAGACATTAATCTAGTACCTGCATGCAGACATATAAAAAACAAAATTAGAACTGAAACAGTGAAAAATGGATTTAAGATGCATTATTTATTGATTTCTGTGGAAAAAAAACCCAGGATTTTTACTGTTTAAGTGTTTAGGAGACATTGACTGATCTACAGACTGTAGACATTCTTCAGAACTTTTACAAAATGTACTGTTAATGAAAAAAGAAACCTATCTTTTTTGTTTCAATAATTGCAGACTACCTATAGTACATATTTGTAATACCTAAAGCGAAGGAGAGACCTAAAGAGAATGCAGGTAAATTAAGGTAAGAAAAAATTGCATGTTCTTACTGTCCCAGCATTTGAAATTAATTTGTTGTTTTTTTTCTTTGCTAGCCTGACAGGAAATTGTTATTTTCTTATTTTTGCTTCGGTAACAGCTCTAGCAAAATGTAATCAATGATATTGCGCAGACGATAGCATTGGATTACTATTTTCTGCAGAATATTCACACTTAAGTCATGTAAAACAGTTATAAATTATTCTCAGGGATCACATTTTCCCTCTAATTAGACATGTTATGTCAGCCATTTTTTCCCATGCACCTAAACATACTAAGCTTTTAATTTTTTTTTCTTTCAGTGTTCCTCTAGAGGAGGTAGATAAAAAAAAAATAAAACAGTAATTAGAAATCATTAATTAACAATTAACAATGGCAGCAGTGACAACTCAACAACCTCAGGCCTCAGACCAGAGTGGCCCTGATTCTGTGCTGCTTAAGAGTGGCCCTGTTACTATAAGACGTTTAAGGAACTCAGAGGAGGACTTCAAATTCTTTGCAAGAGTGTTAGTCGAAGCCTTTGAAGGAAAATTTGTCTATGCTACAAGTAAACGCAGGTATGCATAAATTCTCTAACTATTTACCTGTAAAATGGTAATTCACTATGTTAACTGGGAAAATTTTTTACTACTTTGATTTTATTTTAAAACTTTACATTAGAACTCCTCAGTACATGGGCCTATTTTTTGAAAATACCCTTTGTTTATTAAATACCTATTTCTACATTTCTTGTATGTGTGATTTCTGTTCATTGAAAAATTAACTTAATTTTAAGAAAATTAAGATTAGTAATTTGTTTTTTTTTAATTGATCTTTCTATTATATTTTACACAGCCTTCCCGACATGGAACAATTCTTGATGAACAGAGTGAGAAATCTACCCCCGGAGTATTACGAGAGAAATCTGGTGGGGGAGTATGAAGGGGAAAGGGCCTGCGCCTGTGTCCTGGTTTACAATGGAGATAGTGAAATCTTCCCGTAATATTTACTATTTAAACAAATTTCATTCAGTTTAACAAGACACCAGTCTAGTCATAAAATAAAAATTATAAATAAGAAGGAAAATATAAGATGATTTCAAATACAGAATTAATTAAGAGGAGAAAAAAGATTTATAATATAGTATAAAGATACTAAAGGTTTGTTTGTTTTTAAACAGGGAGAGAGAGGAGGACATGCCCCCACTTGGATGTACAGATATTTGTGGGTGAGGACATTTTTTTTTAATTTCATTACCCCCCTCCTCTTCACTTTTCTTCTTATTTTACATTCATTACACTTTAATAACCAATAATATTGTTTGCATTTAAATCAAACGGTCAGAGTATCATTGTAGGCTTGTGTGTATGGATTGTGCTTTAGGGGGTGAGAAGGCCCCACCAGGAAAGTGCTATTTAGATGCCATTGGTGTAGATGCCAAATTTCGGGGAAAGGGTGTAGGAAAAGTTATGCTAGACGCAGCTGATGCCGATGCAAGGAGAAAAGGATGCAAGGTATGGTGAATTTGTTTGATTTTTTTATAGGCAAAAGATTTAACATTCAAATTTGTTTGTTCTACTGGAAGTAATGCTGTATAAATTTTTAAATTTTTCTTAATTTTTGACACTTTCTGAAATTTAATCAAAACATGCATTTCTATAAGTATCTTAAGTATGTTTCAATAAAACAAAATTAAATTAAGAAAAATTACAAACAGATGGTGGTTACATATGCAATTTACATGAGAATTTTCCATATTTTTCCTAATGTTGAAATATATTTGCAAACATGATTAAATAAATAAAGTTATTTCCTCATCCAAGTCAGTTTTTATAATAATTGCACCTTGTTCTTTATTGCAGTCAATTTACCTTAAGGTAGCCTGTGACAATCGGGCTAAGCACCTTTATGAGAGACATGGATATGTGCTCAAGGATAGAACCTCTCGCTGCTGCTGTATGTGGTGTCAAACAGGGATCAAAGTATGTACAGTGTATCTACAGTCTAACCTTGTTATATCAAACTCAATAGTGCCAAATAAAAACTTGAGAATTTTATTTTATAGATAATAGAAGGCAAAATTCCTTGCTTGTCGTAAAAGGCGACTAAATGGGGTGGTCCTTCGGATGAGACCGTATAAACCGAGGCCCCGTGTCACAGCAGGTGTGGCACGATAAAGATCCCTCCCTGCTCAAAGGCCGTAAGTGCCGAGCATAGGCCCAAATTTGCAGCCCTTCACCGGCAATGGTGACGTCTCCAAATCAGTGAAATATTCTGGAGAGGGACGTTAAACAGTATACAATCAATCAACTTAAAGAAAATATGGTTAGGACTTGCAAATCACTTTGACATATCCGTGGTATTTGAGTGATCAGTATCTGAGATACTAAAGTTTGACTGTAGTATCTTTTCATTTGTAAGAGTTTTCTATTAAACATCTCTGTTTGAGCAATGTGTATCTATCACAGTATGCTTAATATGTTGTTTAACATCAGAAATATTTTGTTTAAAAAAACACTGTTACCCCTCTGAATGCTGAAATTACACCATAACAATCAAAATGATTATCATTACTTGAGAAAACGTAAAATTCTCAGAACTTTGACTATGTTGCAGTTATTTTATTATTATTTTGTAGGAATTTCTAACAGTGGAAAAGTCATTGGAGTGATATTAAAAACTACTTGGAAGACTCTACTGGTGTCAGGAATTATATCTAATTGATTTCATTTGACTAATCATTAGTAGATATATCCTTTTACATGTGTATAATATGTGTCCTCGTCACTTGTGTACAGTTTATATATTTATATATTGTATTATTTTGTATTCATACATGAATTTGTTTTATGTCATATCCATTATTTTTCTTTTTAGTTTTCTGTTACTGCAACATATTTTTGATGTGGTTATGTTTTTTTTTACATTTTACTTTTTTAGGCATAATATATTTTTTTTAATTTTTGAGAAAGTCGTAAAAGTACATGTAATTAATATGTAGAGTGAAGATGTGTATGTTAAAATTTAGGGTTGTCATGATTATACGACTTAGATACACTGTACAGCTCAACGAACTTTTTAAACTCACATGGTTTTTCGCACAAATTAAGGTCACATTGTTATAATGCAAAATTGTGTAACGTGACAACAAAATATATTTTAAAAGTGATTTATAGCTCAATTTTGATCTTATTCTATTACTTTAAATATAATTCACACATAGTAATTGGTAGGATTTTTATATGCTCTTGGATGATAGATTATGACAGTTCCCAAATGGTTTTTTAATGGTTTCTCGTCAAATGCAGCTGTCCTTGAATCCGTTCGTTTTAAAGCAAACTTTTGCCTTGCCTAAATATAGAAACAGTGCAGTTTATGTAACTTCTGTATTATCTGTACATTAATATGACACTAAGGCGCAAGATAACAAAAGTATTTCTCGTTTGTTCGACTGCTTTTCATGTTAAAAAGCATTTTTTCAGATTAACTTTCTGAAATCTAGCATCATGAAAGATATCTTCCAAGGAAAAATTTCAAAGTTTCAAATCATAATTTAAAATAATTTTCTTTTCAATCGTAACAATTTACTACGTTGAAAGAAAAACAATGCTTTATTATTTATCCTTTGACATGATTTCTTTGTGCAGTTTTGTCATTTTTCGGCGCTGTATTTCGACAAAACCAGGACAAATAAGGAAAATATGCAAACTACTTAGAAAAATACTCATTTGTAAGAAATCAGTATGAACATTTCAACTAAAAAGAATCAAAGAAAGCTCGATTAATCAATGTGTGTAAAACTATGGTAGCATCATACAGATGTAACATCATACAATTTATAAACACATTCCCTTTAAAAACATCGATCTTTAAAACTTTAGATAATGATTTTAGAGAATATGCACCTTTAACATGACATATTTGATAATATGAAGATTATACCTCCCCCAGAAGCTTGATAATTTTAAATATTATTGCAAGAAAAATGTGACCTTAATTTGTTCGAAAATCCATGTGAGTTTAAAAAGTGGGTTGAGCTGTATATGAGATTTTTTCTCTGTAACTTTCTATAGAAAACTATTGACTCAATTGAGAATTCAATTGTTTGCTATATATAGACTATTAACCTAATCAAAATTTCATCTACTCTTTTGTTTCCTTTTAAAAATTTAAATACATGGCTGTATAGATGATCATTTTACCCTTTATTTGGAATATTGTACTTCATCCGGTGAAATACACATGCATTTTATTTGGAATATTGTACTTCATTCGGTTAAATATTTGATTTGATAAGAAGTAAATGTACAAAAATTCTGTAGAACAGATTGCTAGCATGTTAAAAAGATTTTATCTTGTATATTGTCTTTATATATATTTTTTCTAACTATACTTGATCACTTTTATAATACTCTGACAATATACATGTTCATAGAGGCCATGGTTGTAGATGTGCTGTTTTTTCTGATACACATTTCTCTACATGTTTCTCTAAATGCTCCTTTTAAAATGAAGTAAAAATGATTTTTATTTTGAGAGTTATTTCTAAATTACTTGTATTGTTTGCAGTTTCCTATTTGTTTCCATTCTAACGTATGTTACATTCATGTAGAAATATGCAAAAAGTAATTATAGCCTGCAAAATCAAAACGAAAATAAATAGATAAATTAATTAAATATTATTACATTAAGCTCTGATTGCTCCTGTATTGGAGTTTCAATTACATTTGGCTTTTGAACGAAAAAAAGGGGGGGTTTACTAGTGTTTAGTGTTTTGTTAGCTGCAAAAAGGTTGCTCTCTGCTTGAGAAAATATGAACAGATTAAGCCCATCAGCTTATCTGTCTCAATTTTCTCAAGCAGTAATTGTGAAAAAATATGACGAGGGGGGTTTGAAAATGTTAAATCTGACATCTTTCATAGCCTCCATGAAATTATTCTGGATAAGACATCTAATCTTTACAAATAGGGGGTTGGAAGACCTCATTCCTATATTTAATTTGAACAAATTTATAAGTTGTGCAATTGAATATACTGCAACTTTTTTAAAAACATTAAAAAATGAATTTTGGATAAATGTTTTTAAGTCCTGGATAATGTTACAAAATCTTGAGAAAAAGTTTAATGTTGCTGGTGACTCGCCACTATTTTACAATCCACATTTGCATATTGGTGGAAAACCATTTTATAATAAACAAATGTTTGACAGCAACATAAGACAAATTAATGATATTATTAATGAAGATGGTTCACTATTTTCCTATGAGCCTTTCTGCAACACCTATCCAGATATAAAGATTAATTTCTTAGAATTCAGTAGTATTATTCATGCTATAAAGGATTGGATGAAAAACAATGGTCAGGAAAAAACAAAAAGAAAGCTCACTAATCCCATAATAATGTCTCATATCTACAGAGCAATGAAATGTAGAAAATCCAAATGCTATTATGAAATCCTTAATCTAAATTCTTCTGTCACAGCAGGTAAAACGTATTGGAGTGAGCTTTTAGAAGATGGAACTCAGGAATGGAAAAAAAAAATCACATGATACCCTTTAGGGTAACAAAAGACTGTAGATTTCAATGGTTTCAATATAGGATTTTAAACAAAATCTTAGCAACAAATTTATTTTTATTCAAAATTAAAAAAAAATGACTGTAAATTATGCACTTTTTGTCATACTGAGGATGAAACAATAGAACACCTTCTATTGGAATGTGATAATACACCACTTCTTCTTGAAGAATTTATGCTTTTGTTTGAAGATAAAACTGGTCTAATGAGAAATGTTACTAAGAAATCTTTCATTTTAGGATTAATTGAGGAAAATATTGATATTCAAAATGCTATTCTTCTTTGACTTAAATACTATATTTATACTGCAAGGTGCACAAAGAAACCTATTAATGTACAAAATGCAATATCACAAATGAAATATCATTCTGAAACACAAAAAATTATCTCTTATAAGAATGGTAAAAAGGAAAAGTTTGATACCCAGTGGAACAGATGGAATCTGCTATTTTCTTAAATAGAACCTTTACATACACTCT